CTGCTAGAAATGGGTCTATGCCTACTTTCTGCTAGAAATGGGTCTATGCCTACTTTCTGCTAGAAATGGGTCTATGCCTACTTTCTGCTAGAAATGGGTCTATGCCTACTTTCTGCTAGAAATGGGTCTATGCCTAATTTCTGCTAGAAATGGGTCTATGCCTACTTTCTGCTAGAAATGGGTCTATGCCTACTTTCTGCTAGAAATGGGTCTATGCCTACTTTCTGCTAGAAATGGGTCTATGCCTAATTTCTGCTAGAAATGGGTCTATGCCTACTTTCTGCTAGAAATGGGTCTATGCCTACTTTCTGCTAGAAATGGGTCTATGCCTACTTTCTGCTAGAAATGGGTCTATGCCTACTTTCTGCTAGAAATGGGTCTATGCCTACTTTCTGTTAGAAATGGGTCTATGCCTACTTTCTGCTAGAAATGGGTCTATGCCTACTTGCTGCTAGAAATGGGTCTATGCCTACTTTCTGCTAGAAATGGGTCTATGCCTACTTTCTGCTAGAAATGGGTCTATGCCTACTTGCTGCTAGAAATGGGTCTATGCCTACTTTCTGCTAGAAATGGGTCTATGCCTAATTTCTGCTAGAAATGGGTCTATGCCTACTTTCTGCTAGAAATGGGTCTATGCCTACTTGCTGCTAGAAATGGGTCTATGCCTACTTATGTGAACCCGTGGCTCGCCCACGGGTTTGTTTTCCACTTGACAGATTGAAGTTGACAAGTTCCACTTGACAGATTGAAGTTGACAAGTTCCACTTGACAGATTGAAGTTGACAAGTTCCACTTGACAGATTGAAGTTGACAAGTTCCACTTGACAGATTGAAGTTGACAAGTTCCACTTGACAGATTAAAGTTGACAAGTTTCACTTGACAGATTAAAGTTGACAAGTTCCACTTGACAGATTGAAGTTGACAAGTTCCACTTGACAGATTGAAGTTGACAAGTTCCACTTGACAGATTGAGGTTGACAAGTTCCACTTGACAGATTGAAGTTGACAAGTTCCACTTGACAGAATGCTCTCATCTTTATACGGGTATCGCAGCCGCTAACAAGTTTTCAAACTGCTGCACGATAGACAATATTATATACTATTGGCGATCTAAGGCTTTGTTATTATTTCTAATGTAGAATCTAGCTGTCACCAGCGATTTGTTTCTAAACACAAGATTGTTTTTGAATTTATCACTATCTGTCAAGGTTTTATGTCTAACTTATTATCCCACTGATGAAGATATGACTTTTTCTGTAAGAGATGCGTAGCGACTCTTCCCGGCGCCCGAGGACAAACTTTCAATTTGGCGCCCCCCCCCCTCTATATTTTATATATTTATAATGCAAAACTGCAGCTCAAATGAGCTTTTCATTATTTTTTCAACCCATTTTGGCGCACCCTAGGGTCGGCGCCCGGGGACCTATGTACCCCCCCCCCCCCCCGCTACCCCCTCGCTACGCCTCTGTTATGTCATATCTGCAAATGCAGAACCTCAGCTTCTTATAGGCCTATATGTTAGGGCCAAAGCTCAGACACTTCGCAAACTGGCCGGCATGTCATGACCAATGTCCGATGTAGGTTACATTTTCAATAATTCATTGTGAGTAATGTATTGCTCGGCTCGCTTTTGTATTGCATTCTATATGCATGCCGACATGGACAAAAGGCCGACATGCATAAACGGCCGACAGGCAAAGAAGCAGACGGACTATAAGGCAGCCAAAGAACACAATCCACACTCTTGTTTAGTTTACGAATACCGCCAAATAAAGGCTACTGTTGTATTTCATAGCCATCTCTGCGGTAACGAAGTTAGATAATAATCAAAGAACAAAACCGAAGGTAGATGGCGTCACCGCCCACGTGCAAGGGATTTAGCAGCAGTTGATGCTACCCTTTAAAAGTGAAGGATATGGTCCAAACGACCCGGGGCTCTAAAACCACATGTGGCCAGCAAAGGAAGTAGACCGATCACCACACCTTAACCGGACTACATGATAAATACCGACACAATTATAATTGCATTTCTGTGTTTTTGTGCACTTTGGAATACTTAACATGTTAGGCCTATACTTCTTCTTCGTTCTTAATTAAGTATATGATGGAGGATTTAAACAACAAGCCCAACTTCGTGTATGAACTGGACTGTGGTCTCCAGATCAGCGGGTGCCCCATATAGTTTTTCCTTGAGTGGGGTGTATAGGGGGACAGTGTTTGGATCGCACCTGTCTATATAATGAACATTCTTGAAGGACGTGCTCCGTATTTTCCGGGGCCACAAGGGCATATTTCGTCGCACCCAATTTTTAGTTTTTTATGCATGTGCTGTTTTAGTCTATTGTGGCCTGTTCTGAGTCTAAAGAGTATGCGTTGTTGGTTTCGTGTCAAATTGTAATATCCATAGTCTTTTTTTAAGTGAGGGTGTGTGTCAGACCACATTTGTGTTTTTTTTTATGATTCTTTTGATTTCTTTTGGATGTAGCGAGATTTCTGGTTGTTTTTTTCTTTCCCCCAATTTTTGCTAGCTGGTCTGCGATCTCATTTCCTTGTATCTGTCAGTGGCCCGGGATCCACTGCAGCACAATTCTGCTGCAGGTATTGTAGCCTTTCAAGTGCTGTCCTGAGTGATTGAGTATAGGAGTCTGGATTTTTTAGGGACTGCAGGACAGATTTGGCATCTGTAAGAAATACTGACTATTTGGAGATTCAGGGTGTTCTGACAGGAGGTTTGCTGCATGCTCTAAAGCTTCTTTTTCTGCTCTAAAATTGTCAGATAGGCTGCCTGTGGCTATTGACTTTTCTAAGCTTTCTCCGTTTGGCCATTCAATAAGGACGCCAGCCCCGCCTTTTTGTGGTATCTTCAGCTGAGCCATCTGTGAATACTCTAATCCAGGTATTGCTGGGGTACTGATCCTTAATGTGCTTATTTGTTCTTTTCTTTAATTCCTCTTGATCGTAGTAGGATTTTTTTCTATGGTGTCTATTGAGTCACTGATGGTTAAAGTATGGTGGGAGATCCACGGCGGGGAGAGGTTTTGAGTTTTGATTGTTTTAGAAATGATGTTTTCTATTTCATATTTCTTTTTTAGATTTTTTGCTTCTTTGATAAAACGAGTTCTTTGAAGTCTGTTTGATGGAATGGGCTTCTGGAGTTTGTGTTTTAGGTTATGGTTTTCCAGTGCCTCTAGTTTGTGCAATTGAGTGAGGATTTTTTATTCTCTTCTTTCTTCTATTGAACTAAGAGCGGCTATTTCCTCCATTGCTTTTATAGGCGTTGTTTTCATAGCTTCTGTAATTATTTTTAGGCCTATACAAGTTTTACCTTATATTTGTTTGATTGTGTAGGCCTAGACAAGTTTTACCTTATATTTGTTTGATTGTGTAGGCCTATACAAGTTTTACATAATATTTTTTCATTGTGTAGGCCTATACAAGTTATACATTATATTTGTTTAATTGTGTAGGCCTATACAAGTTTTACATTATATTTGTTTAATTGTGTAGGCCTATACAAGTTATACATTATATTTGTTTAATTGTGTAGGCCTATACAAGTTTTACATTATATTTGTTTAATTGTGTAGGCCTATACAAATTTTACATCATATTTGTTTGATTGTGTAGTCCTATACAAGTTTTACATTATATTTGTTTGATTATGTAGGCCTATACAAGTTATACATTATATTTGTTTGATTATGTAGCAGAGGCGTAGCGACCCTTTCCGGCGCCCGGGGACAAACTTTCAATTTGGCGCCCCCCTTGGGAGCAAATTTTCAATTTGCACCCCCCTCAAACTTTCGATTTGCACTCCCCCTCAAACTATTTATAATGCAAAAATGCAGCTAAAATGACATTTTAATTTGTTTTTACAACCCATTTTTGCGCCCCCTAATGTCGGCGCCCGGGGACATGTGTACCCCCCTGCTCCCCCCCCCCCCATCGCTACGCCTCTGTTATGTAGGCCTATACAAGATTTACATTATATATGTTTGATTGTGAAGTCAGGCCATCCAAAATTACAAAGACATTGCAACAAAGACTAAACATCAAACTGATTTTTAAATTTAAAAAAATTAATTAGTTTCGTACCAAAACAATAAGCATGGCACTATGCCAGGAGTCGGAATAAGGGGAGACAATGACGTCACGGGATGGAGTTACAGACACACACAGCAGCAGAGGACCGAGACGGAAAATGATCAACTGTGGTGCCCAAATGTCACAAATAAAGGTTAAGGGATGAATGATTGATTGAATGATTGATTGATGGAACTTTTATCTGCACTAATCGTAAATGTTACTCTAAGGTGCTGGTGTATGAAAATGTTATGTAATAGTAATATTATAGGGCGTAGGGAGTGAAAAAATGTTTTTTTTTTAAATTTAAAATGCGTGTGCACTTTCCTAGCAGAACCTCGCATTGTCTCAATACGGGAAAAATTGTTTAAATTATTACAGATTAGAGTTGTCAAATAAAAAAAAACTAAAGCAGAGGCATTATTTTAAAATATGCGACAACTAAAAAGGTTGAGGTATTCTAAGCTTTGCAACCCCCCCCCCCCCCTTTAACGATCAGCATCTCTTCCTATTACATTGTTTAGTGGTTAAAGTAAAGTTTCCCTTTCAAACCTGACGGTCTATGGGGCAAGTGAAGTAGAGTTCTAGCGGTAGAGAGCTGGACTGCTAACCCGTAAGCCTCGAGTTCGAATCCGGGTTCAAGTCAATAGACGGTCCCTGAATCCACCCAACTCTGATGGGTACCTAACTCACGTTAGAGAAAGTAAAAGCGGCTGGGCATAGTGCTGACCACACTATCTCTTTATATGCCGAGGTCACAGAAACAAGTTTAGTGGTTAATCACGCCTTAAATGTGGATAGTATTTTGTTTTCAAACGTTATTCTGTTACAACACAAAAAAAAAATATTTAATCATTAAAATCAAACTGCACATTGAGTGCTAAGCCACAGAAATGTTAAACACGTCGACACCAACCTTTTAGACAAGAAATGTGCCAACAGCTACAAGTGACCTGTCCTGTAGCCTGACGCTGTAAGTGACCTGTCCTGTAGCCTCACGCCGTAAGTGACCTGTCCTGTAGCCTGACGCTGTAAGTGACCTGTCCTGTAGCCTCACGCCGTAAGTGACCTGTCCTGTAGCCTCACGCCGTAAGTGACCTGTCCTGTAGCCTCACGCCGTAAGTGACCTGTCCTGTAGCCTGACGCCCAGTAAGTGCCGACAGGAGACTGAATCTAACGCCGCTGTTTGTTTACCTAATTGCTTCAAAGACACGCGATCTGCCTCATTGATTTTTTGCTCATTGATTTTCGGCTCATCGAACGCTGGCTGATTGGGCGCTAACGGCGAGCTTGATTACTTGTGAATCGGCCTCACAATCGACGAGTCATTAAGACAAGCAAAAACTCAATCTAAACAGCTAGTACTTTTTGACGTCTGCCGCTGGAAGGCCCAAAGTCAAGAGAGAAACGTCACAGCGCGTGAGCTCAGCTCACGTGACTTAGTGTCGACACGCTCCCCGTCACGGTTCGAAATTCTCCCGGCAGTCGGCAACCTGCACCGCAGGTGTGTCTGCAACACCCACAGGTACAATCATGCAACACCCACAGGTACAAAAAACGCAACACCCACATGTACAATCATGCAACACCCACAGGTACAATCATGCAACACCCACAGGTACAATCATGCAACACCCACAGGTACAATCATGCCACACCCACAATCACCCACAGGTACAATCATGCAACACCCACAGGTACAATCACGCAACACCCACAGGTACAAAAAACGCAACACCCACAGGTACAAAAAACGCAACACCCACAGGTACAAAAAACGCAACACCCACAGGTACAATCACGCAACACCCACAGGTACAATCATGCCACACCCACAATCACCCACAGGTACAATCACGCAACACCCACAGGTACAATCATGCAACACCCACAGGTACAATCATGCAACACCCACAGGTACAATCACGCAACACCCACAGGTACAATCACGCAACACCCACAGGTACAATCATGCAACACCCACAGGTACAATCATGCAACACCCACAGGTACAATCACGCAACACCCACAGGTACAATCACGCAACACCCACAGGTACAATCATGCAACACCCACAGGTACAATCATGCAACACCCACAGGTACAATCACGCAACACTTCTTTCACATGCGCTGTAGCACTTGTCTCATAAGTACAACCTGCAGAGCCTGTTTCACATGTACTACCCGCAGAGCAAAACTGGCCTGGACTGCATGCTACATAAGTGCCTTAAATGGTCTACATGTGAGTTTTTGTATTTTTAACTCAGTAGAAGGGAGATAATTTATTTTAGCGTATTAAAATGTTGGCTGATTAACCTCTGTTCAACAAATATCTCAATCAGCTAATTCTATAAATGTAAGCCATACACTACTTGGTGTTTTCTCCTCTAGATGGGTTGTTGTCCTCAGCTAAACAAACCCTATCTGCCAGGGGTTCTAAAGGAAAAACTTTTGGAGTTATCAGCCATGAGCTCTGGCCCACATCCCATAGAGACATACTATCAACATGTAAAGATTGCTCCATTCTATAGATGTATTCATTGAAAAAGTAGGGAACCACAACAAAAAAATAGATTGAATAGATACACAATTTTATTGCAACAATACATATAATAACATTGAGCATGTATAGAAACTGTCACACAAACAAAACCTTTACAAATAAATGTAAACTAATATCTGGTTAGAGAAGTTCACCTGCTTAAAATTTGAGTACAATATTTAAGCATCAATCTTGACCACATAAAACATATTTCAAAACTTCAGACCCTCATAATGTGAGTAAAACGTCTGGCTCACAAATTAAATGAATAAAAAAATCTTTAGAATCACAGCACATTGTATAGCATTCATACATAGTAACAATGTATTTACAGTAAAGCCTGTCTGTTGGGTGGTACTGGCATCACACACCACGGGGTGGGGGCAGGCAGGTTACCCTACAACTACATGAAGCCAGCTCAATACAGTAGAATTTGACACTCGTCAGATCTAACAGCTAATCCAAACTTTTATTACAATGGAATGTTGGCATGTTTTTTCCATGGGTTAGACCGGGTTTTGCTGGACAACATATCCAGGTCTCTGTTGATTCTCATTCTGGTTGTACGGGGCTCAATTATGTCATCCACAAACCCTGGTGAAACAAACAAAAAATTATGTCATCGACAAACCCTGGTGAAACAAGCAAAATTATGTCATCCACAAACCCCAGTGAAACAAACAAAACAATTATATCATCAACAAACCCTGGTGAAGCAAACAAAATTATATCATCAGCAAACCCTGGGTGTTACAAACAAAAAGCAACATTACCAAAGCCTGGGTGTAGGATACAGTGAATTAAATAGCTGCTATCAAATGGAAGTTACAAATGACATACCTCTTATAGCAGCAGGAAATGGATTGGCAAACTTTTCTATATATTCATCTTCATTGTCTTTTTGGTTTTTGCTGCCTCGAAATATGATGGAAACTGCACCCTAAAATAGATCACTCATCATCAGACTGAGCAAACATCAGACAAAAACTGATTAACTATTAGTAAAAAAAGATAAATGTTTTTAAGAAAACTGATCAATTTTCAGTCAATAATATATACAATCTGTCTAAATTAGCCCCACAGTCTCAGCACAATCTCTCCCCACCCATTCACAGTTTTTCCTAAGTTATTTCAGCGCAGTGACTGGTGGTTATCTGACCTAGCAGCCAACAGCTGAGAAAGCCTGTGGTCAACCTACTTATCCAATGCAGTACTAGAAAGTAGATGTTGTAAAGCTAGAGTTAAGCATGAACCAACCTTTGCACCCATTACAGCAACTTCAGCTGTGGGCCAGGCATAGTTTATGTCCCCTTTTAGATGTTTGGAGCTCATGACATCGTATGCTCCACCATAGGCCTGGAAAGTAAAATCATTCGTTATTAACAGCTGGCTTTAGATTTAACATATTTGTACTGGCAAATGTTGGATACAGTTTTGTTGTTCACTGAAGAACAGCTAATGTGTAGGACAACTAGGTAATCATACTAAGTTTAATTCGTAACTAATAAAAGAAAATCTAAAATGTTAAAAAAAAACACCATGCACACAAGACCCAGACAGATAAAAAGTACCTTTCTTGTGATGATTGTTATTTTAGGCACTGTGGCTTCTGCAAATGCATACAAGAGTTTAGCTCCATGTCGAATGATTCCACCATACTCCTGAGTCGTACCTACAGTGTTTAGATATTTCATACACATTAATTTTAAACAATAGACAAAAATGTTTTCAGAAGTTAAGTTTTGAGTCCAAATTGAAACTGACCTGGTAGAAAGCCTGGAACATCAACAAATGTGATGATGGGGATGTTGAAGGCATCACAAAACCTGACAAATCTCGCAGCTTTAACTGATGCATTGATGTCCAGGCAACCTGGGAATTGTTACATCAAAACATTTAAAGTAAATTAAAGCTGGCATTGGGATCCTCTCATGAAATCTTGCACCACAAAACTCAACTATAACAAATCTATTTGCTATATGAGAATTGTTAATATCCTAGGATTTTCTATAACCAGTATATATGCTACATTATTTAGTAGCCAATACTTAAAAATAATCTGTAATCATCAATTCATTTTAATTGTCACCAGGTAATATAAAATACACAGACAAAATACTATACAATGAAACTAGTGCCATTAGAACAGAATTATTTTTTGACAAAGATAGTAAGTTTGTTTATCACTTATATCAAGTACTTTGTGTGGATAAAATAAATGTGCAACACATAAACACTCACCAGCTGCTACTTTTGGTTGATTACCCACAATGCCTACAGTACGACCATTCATACGTGCAAATCCAACTATAATATTTTTAGCATATGTGGGCATAATCTCAAAAAATTCTTGTTCATCAATAACCTGTTTGTAAGATACATATTTTAATAACAGCCAATGTAATAAGATACATATATCAAACTGAATACACTAAAGTCTTTATACAAAATGTTCAAATATGTTTAGATTTCTAGTTTACATTTTCTAGAACTAAATTTAGATCTAGTATGTTTTCTGCTTTACAGTTGATTGAGTGAAAAACACATCTCTGTAGTTTTCACATCGGATGATTTCAGTAGCTCTATAGTCAGCTAATGCAACTCAATGTGGGAAAACGTGGACAAAGTGCCCAAAGTATTAGTAAAATGTGAACTTACGCCTGTGATGACATCATGCATATCATAGGCTGCTGTAGATTCAAGGGGCACAACTGTATCCAAACCTGGCACAACTCTGTCCCTGCATCAACAGTAGTAAGATGTCATATTTTAACAATTTACAACACACTGAGTCAAGTAATAAACTATGTCATCCTATTGCTAGTGTTAGCAGTACCTACCATGGGTCATCACACTCTCGTATTGGTGCCTGATCCTGGTTATTTAGAGGTAGGTAGTTGAAAAATTCTCTCAGATTCATCAAAGCATCTACATCATTTTCAAATGCTCTGTGTGCAACACCTGCAACAGGAGCAGTTATTATTATGAACAGTTACACTAATTTACTCATACAGCTAACTTTATTGTGACATGGTTTATGGGTGACTCCTTAAAATAATGGAATTTCAGAGAGAATGGAACTACATAGTAGTATAGTGTAGACGTGTGTGAAAGGATATGGTCAAAAAGATGTTGGCCATACCTGAAATTGTTGTATGTGTTTTAGCTCCACCCAACTCTTCTTGTGTCACATCTTCATTGGTCACTGACTAAGATTCACAGATGAGAAAACTAATTATTATCAATTACTGCAACTTATATAAATATAAAATTATTAAAGCAAAAAGCTTTGAATCTAGTATAACTGTTAAAGATACCATAAAAAATATCAAAGGCAAAAATCCTACAAATTACTTTCATCTTTAAAACTATCTTTGCTCTTAGTATAACTCAATTTTTTTTAAATTTCAAAGACATCAAATGTTCCTGAAAGAGGAGAGAAAAACATGGTAGCTGTGCAGAGTATTTCTGAAGGTTGAATATGTGTGTGGAGTGTGTGAGTTGAGTGTGTGTGCTACAGCATGTTTAAAAAAAAAATGAATCTGATAACTTTTATAGCGAACTTTTTTTTTACTTTAAGGATAATTATGCTTCACTTTTTTCCCTTTTCACCCCCTACCCTTGTATAAAGAGAATGTGCAATTAAACTGGTACTATGTATCTAACCAAGCCCCCCAATTCATGAACACTGTTGAAAGGTTAACAAGGCATCGATGACATCTACGGTCATTCTATTCACCTTCCTCTCTGGTATTTTCAACAAGCAAACGGTAAAACCAAACTCTGTTGAAGGGGTTACCGCTATATTCCTACGTAGTGCTGAGGTGTGCTGTTAACATCACGTGGTCATACTTCGTGAGTCGGCCGCTTATCAGGGGCCGTTATCGGGGAATGACTACATAAATAAACCTTTCAGCCAACATCCTTATCAAAAGATGTAAAAAAAAAAAAAAAATTCAACCCAACTTATCTCCCCTTGTTATTGCCACTCGGAGGTTTGAGCTATCTGATAGCAAGACGTTCGCACGTGCAGTAAGCCAAGGGAAATAACCCCTGGGACGATTTTTCATCAACTCGCTACTGGTACAGACTAAAGTTAATCAATCTTGGCTTTTTAGAAGTCGCGATACGGGCCCAATCGTCTACCGTGATTCTCAAACTCAGGTGAGACACGCAGAGCTGAATCAACTTGATTATTTTTGTACTTAAACGTGATCTAGAAAATAGCTTTTAAACATAAGGCCTACATTTATTACTGAGAAATCATCAAAACTACATTAAAAGAAATATATTTTTTAAACTTTCAAATTACACTGTTTTTAAAACAGATGACTATAGGAAGAGTTGTACAAAAAGAATGTAAGTTAATTTAAAACGTGCCACGCACCAGCAAATAACGGAAGAGTCAACCTCCCAACCTGACAACTGAGACAGGCGCCTTAACAAGCCGGGACCCACTGGGCCTACTGCGAGCAAAGCCACAAAAGATCACTGGCAGTGCCGCCAACTGCTAGCGAGCACAACAGGCACAGGTGAGCATAGGCGCAGGTAGATTCATCGGTCAGAGGTGAGTACATTTTATACAGTTTGATTTAATGTACATGAGCCTTTACATGGCACGCCGCTATGGTAGGGCAATGGTCGCCATCTTATTTCAGTTTTAGTCGAGCTTAGTTAAACGTAATCAACGTTCCTTAGCTAAACAATAACTGGGTTTGTAATTTTAAAATACGGGTGTACTTAAATCCTGCATGAAAATCTCGAGAACGTGATATTAACCAGAGCTATCCTGTTCTAATTATAAAAGCGGATATTCCCACACTAATTAAATCCAGCCTAGATGGCTGTGAGTTTTTTTTTTTTAATTTTGTTTTCTTTATTAATGTATCATAGCACGACCATCTTTTTTCGTTACTACCAGAAAGAGAAGGAAAGTAAAGGCGGCTGGGCATAGGGCTGATCACACTATCCCTTCATATGCGGAAGTGACAGAAAGAGGTGACACTACTTCACTTGCCACAAGGACCCTCAAGTTCGAAAAAGGGAAATTTACTTTTATATATGATATACGAATATATAAAACATCGCTTGTAAATGTGTATCCGTTTCAAGGACTGGCGTAAGATAGTGTTGATTAACGTATCGCCGCACGTAACCAATTAGCCAATTGCTTTAGCCAGTTTGTACTATTGTGGTTTTTCATCCACGGTCAATGTTTACACCGCAGTAAAGTAGCGAACATTTCTAGGTAGATGTGCGTTCTCAGTTAAGTAAATCCGCGTTTAAAACATTTTAATATCATAATCCCGTACTATCACACCGCAGTAAAGTAACCAACATTTCTAGGGAGATGTGTTCTCATTAAGTAAATCCGCGTTTAAAACATTTTAATATCATAATCCCGTACTATAACAAGATGTTTGTATAGTGATACAAAGACCGAGAGTGCATGTTTCGCTTTATGTGGAAATAAAAGGACAAAGATTATTTGAAAAAAAAAACTGTAACTACATCAAAATATACTTAAGCTTTTACATACCAGAACAGACGGATCTTTTATAATCTCCCCTTGCCTTCTTAAGAAAAAAAAACTCCCTTGGTTACCACAATGTTACGTAACCAATCGTACCTAGCCTGGATTTACCACCTGTATTACTCATCACGACCTCTTTGTTTTGCTCCACTGCACCAAAACCACGTTAAATTTCGATCCAACGGCTAAAACATTTGCTACCTGTACCCAATCATTTATCATAGCGCTAGCACTGATAGGGCATTAGCCTCAGTAAGACTTGAACAACAAATAGTCCTGTGACCACACCCAAATTTATCAGTTACAGCACCCTGTTTTTTCTTCTACGCAAGTCCACCTATCTTATTTTTATCAAAAACTAAGTCCACTTTCCCTCCATCTACCACACCTCCCCCACCCCATCCCCTTTACCATATTTTATCCTCTCGTGTTTTGATGTGAAATTAAATGCCATCTGTAGAGTTGTTTTTTTACCCGAGCGATGCCTGACTGATGTCAAATAAGGTTCCCCCAGCCAGACAACATAAAGAAGCTGGGGAGTAGCCTGCCGAGGGGGGGGGGGGGGGAAGAGGAGGGGGGGGGGGGAAGAGGAGGTGGTAGATAAGAGGTCAGACGGATCTTAAGTTCTCCGGGTCAGTACGTATTTTGCCGGGGCGAGAACGGGGTCAAATGTTTTGTGGAACTCTACGGGATTTTTTTGCCAGTTGGTCTTGCCACCTTCACGTTGTGATGGAAATCTAACAGTTGGTTTACCCCATTTGTTTGTGTCATGGAAGAAATAAACGTAGCCACCAAATGGTTGGCTTAATGCTCCGCTTGCTTTAGTAGCGAAACAAACCCTCCATCGAAAAGTAAGTCTCAGCCTTCCTTTACACATTTAAGATGAACTTTGCTGAAGAAAATACTTTTGTATATTTGTTTTTTTCTTGCATAGAAAAATCATTCAGGCAATTATTAATTTTGATTTCGTATTTTATATAGAAAAACTATTCGCACAATTTATTTTAAATGTGTAGGTCAAATAGGCCAAACTTGAGTGAGCTGTTATAACTTTCTCTCCTTTAAATAATATTTCTCCAGCAAAATATGTTATGTTCACTTTACATATAAAGTGTATATAGAATATTTACATGTCACACATTTTTTAGCTGTACTTGCTATAATAAAAAGCATCCTTTATTTCAGGTCATATAATCACAAAACAACATAGGCAACTAACAACACGAGTTATCAAAGTGCCAGTACACATTAACATGAAGTCAACTGAAGACCACAATTAGGTCAACGAAGTATCAATAGTGACAAAAATGAGCACTAAATTGTATTTGAAGAGACTATCCAGAATCGTCTCCCTTGTCTGCTTGTCTTTCATCTGTTACACAAGTTTTGTCCATTTCCTGCTCCAAACACCAGCAGAGCAAGAGCTGGCCACAAGAAACCAGCAGACCGTGACCACACCTACAGACAAACACGAGACAAGATCACATCTAGAGCAGGCGGACAGAGAGCGTGTCACCAGCAGTCTCAAGGTCAACTTTCTTCCCCTCACACCGTTTCTCTCAGTGTTTGGTGTCTACCTGGACAGGAGAAGTCCCCAGGTGTACATCAGAATTCTGGTGCTCCAAAAACAGGTGAACCACACGGTCAGGATGGTGTGTAGGTTCACTGATACCATGTCAACACCAGCACAAGCCTATGAGATGTGTGAGAACCACGGCAAGGATTACGGTGGCTGGATCTATTCCTGTCCACTACCCAACAGACTGACACCGGTCAACATTCACATAGCCACGTACTGGGGGGACAACTCTAGCGACCACATGTTTCAGCTTCAAGCACTACAACCCCATAAGAAGTGTGGTGGGAAAGATTTAGTTAACCTGGACACAAGCAAGAAATATCCCACCCAGCTGAACCTCACAGCTCCACATAAACAACCTGGGACTTTGTCACACCAGCAACTGAGTCACGTGACTGCATGCAAGCAAACAAACATAGCAGTTTGTGTCTCACCAATTCATGGAAACATTCCCTTACAAAAACTGATCCATTTCTTAGAACTGGCCGCACTACTTGGAGCTGATCAAATATTTCTCTACATTGACAACATACCAGAGGACTTGAGGGCTTTCCTCTCCCACTATGATTCACATTTTCTGACTCTAGTTGGCTGGAACATGTCATTCCTATCTCAGTCTTTATACCAGGTTCTATGGAACCATGGCCAACTGCTTGCCATCCAGCACTGCTTATACAGTCAGATGCCTCACTTTGACTGGCTCTTGTTTATGGACATTGATGAGATGCTGGTACCCCAGACAGCCAGCACATGGCAAACACTGGTCCAAGACATTTTAACTGACCACCAGGTTAGCACTGACCAGGTGGCTGCCATCACATTCCAGAGTGCTTTCTTCTCCCAAGACATCCAAAGCCCAGAGTCGTCCAGCTGGATCCCGTACTTCCAGTACTTGTACAGGAGCAAACAGCTGAGTAGAGAGAGGTCAAAGCTGCTAGTCAGGTCTCAGGCTGCCCTGGAGGTGGGGATACACCATCTCAGTCAGGCGGTCAGCACAAACTTGAGGACACTGTCTGCCCCCACACACCAGGCTATCCTGCACCACTACAGGACATGTGACCCTGCCAGTGTCCAGTGTGATCAGGTGGTCAAGGATCTAACAATCCTCAAGTATGAAGATCAGCTGACACAAGCCAGTAAACAAAAACTTCATTTAGCAATCAAATGGTTTCAGCATACTTGAAACAGGATATTGACAAAATAAAGCTACCAAATAATTTAATAGTAATTTAACCGATACTTGAATACCAAAGGTACAACACTCAAGCCTAACAACTATTTCTACCAGAACACTCAGAAATAAAGTACAAGGATTTCTCCTATAGTTGACTACATGTGATATACAAAATTTTGCTACTCCATCAGATTATTAAGTACCAGCAACAAATTATGCTTACTAATGTTTATGTTACTGGAAAAGTAAGAAATGCAGGAATTCTTTAAAATGACAGATTTAGCTGTTAATTATATAAATTCTTTGTAACCAAGATGTTTAATGAGTAAAACAAATGAAATTATTTGCAGTGCTGTACTCTAGCTGGAATAAAATTGTAGTGGATTGATCTCTTAGGGAAAACTCATTATGTAAGATGAAGAAAAATATGTTACCACCCCATATCCATCATTGTATATATACAACATTTCAAGAACCCCTCGCCCATAAGTCACAATATAATTTGGTACAAATAAAATTCGTTTTCTAATTGAATTATGGGAATAGCATCATCCTCACATCAGAAATTTTATAAATACAAATACAGCAACTGACAAAACAACATAATTTTCTCACACCCCTGTAGTCTATAAAACGTGCTGGATTTCCAAAGTATTTGAAAACGAGACATTCCCTTTTTAACAACTAAATTTGACCAGTTTTATTTGCTAATAAATGTATCAGATGTTATTTTGTGTGGTTATTGAAAATTTGTGCAATAGTGATTATTTAGGAATGATTGTAAGCTATTAATATTGTTAGTCTGTGTGATTATACTACATGATAGTAAACAGAACATAAATTTATAAATGAATGTTAATGAATTACTGACCTTAACAACATCAGGCCCAGTTATAAAGAGGTAAGAAGAGTCCTGTAAACAAATAACACTGACAGTAAGCTTTACACATTTCCTTTCTAATCAAAGATTTCTTAGACAAAGTCATTCTAAAAAAAAGTAATTCTTTCTTGACTATTGTTGGTTTTTAAAAATATGAGACATTGAATTGCTGTCATTCTAGAAAAAGTAATTATTTTTTGACTATTGTTGGTTTTTAAAAATGAGTTATTGAATTGCTAGTCAAAGAAAAAATTCTTACCTTGACCATAAAGGTGAAATCTGTGAGAGCAGGTGAATATACAGCTCCACCTGAAATAATAAAAACTTTAGTTAAATCAGGAGAATTAAACCAATACATTGTTTTAGTAACCTTGGTTGATTTATGTAGGAAAAATTGTTTTTGTGTCAGTTAAATCAGGAGAATTAAACCAATACATTATGTTTTAGTAACCTTGGTTGATTTATGTAGGAAAAATTGTTTTTGTGTCAGTTAAATCAGGAGAATTAAACCAATACATTATGTTTTAGTAACCTTGGTTGATTTATGTAGGAAAAGTTGTTTTTGTGTCAGTTAAATCAAGAGAATTAAACCATTACATTATTTTTTAGTAACCTTGGTTGATTATTGTAGGAAAAGTTGTTTTTGTGTCAGTTAAATCAGGAGAATTAAACCAATAGATTAGGTTTTAGTAACCTTTGTTGATTTATGTAGGAAAAGTTGTTTTTGTGTCAGTTAAATCAGGAGAATTAAACCAGTACATTATGTTTTAGTAATAACCTTGGTTGATTTATGTAGGAAAAATTGTTTTGTTTCACTTAAAATGTGTGAAAAATGTCTGTCATTTAAACAGCCACAACATACCTGCACAAGGTCCCATGATCATAGATATCTGAGGGATAACACCTGAAGACTCTACATTTCTCTGAAAGATTAAGGTTTCAATTCAGATAATTGTATCAAAATTGGGATTTTTATACTAACAAACCAGCATTTAGAATTTTTATGGTTGAAATGTTTCACAGGATGTGACAATCAATCAAATACCAACCTGGTTTATATTTAATAGTCACTAAATATTTCAAAGCTTACCTGAAATATATCTGCATAGCCTGCTAAAGACTCAACACCTTCTTGAATTCTAGCACCACCTGAATCATTTAGTCCAATAACAGGAGCACCAACCAACATTGCCTGATCCATTATCTGTGTCAGATACAGTATACACTTGATTATATCAAGCATTCATGTGTAGAACTAAAAGAAAAGCTTTTAAAAAGTTTAACACTCTTACTGAGGTCTAAAAAATGAACCACAAAAACATCAATTTTTATCCTACTAGCAACTAATAGTCATCAGAGAATACAAGTTTCTAAACTAACTATAAGCCAGATTTTGTCAACAATTAAAATTCCACCAGTAACAAAAAGGTATACTTGCCTTGCAAACTTTTTTAGCATGTGCACCAGACAAACTTCCTCCAAAAACGGTGAAGTCCTGCATAATAAACAGTCTGGTTTAAAATGCACACACACATAAATCTTTTATATTGCAATCCTGGTAATTTGTTTTTTTTAAACAAGCTATTTTCCAAACCTGAGTAATGTATGGAGTTCTGAGTGATATAAATAGTAGCACTAAAAAGAACAGCAATTTTTTAATGATAGATTTAAAAGACTTAACAGGCCAAACGAAGCAATGTAATGAATGATATATTAAAGTTGTAGCATGCTCAACTGCAGCCAAATCTGATGTCTCATAGAAAGTTAAGCTCTGTAGTAGCCACATAATTCACAGTCATATGCTGTGGCCACAGAAACATAAAAGCTATGTCCTCTACTCAAGGTTAGAGACGTAGCGACCCATTCCAGCACCCGGGGCAAACTATCAATTTTGCACCCTCCCCCAAATATGCAAACACGTTTGTATTGTTTAAACCCCCCCCCTCCCCCCAACTTGGAATGGTCAGAGTGCTTTTACTTACTACTTTCTCTTTTTATTACGGTGTCACAGATTTGACGTGAAAACAGTCAAGTAAGTCCGTAAAGCCAGTAAGCAGTCTATTTTCTTAACCTCGACTGTGGATCATTTACTAATGCTGCTAAGAATGAGCCTTTAAATATATTTTTTTTCCTAACCAGTTTTGTGCCCACCTAGAGTCTGCGCTTCGCCCGCCATCCCCTTGCTATGCCTCTGCTTAAGGTCTGATGGCTTCTTTCACAATACAAACAAGATTGGCACCGCACAAAAAAAAAACAGTAACTTTACCTGACTAAATACAAAAACAGTTCTGCCATTGATTAGACCCCTGCCAGTTACAACACTATCACCAGGATACTGGGGAAAAAAATGTACACAGAATTTTAAAATTCAGTTTTATTATTTGCAGGAAATACAAGCATCTTAAAAATAAACCTGAAATTTTTAAAATAGCTTGAAGATATTTAATGGAATACCTTTTTATCATAACAACTGCATTTAGTTATAAAAATGTCTGACGATTTATACCAACTAGTCCAACTCTTTCAACTTACTTTCTGTTTTTCCATACCAAAGTCTGCACAATTATGCTCAAGGAACATGTCATATTCAATAAAACTATCATCATCAACCAAAAGTTGAATCCTTTCTCTTGCTGTTAACTTTCCCTGTCATAAAAATAAATGTCAACAATTAGTAGACAAATTGTTAAAGTGTTTCAATAGTTGAATTTTCATTCTAAATATCAGTAACTTTTAAAAAACTTCACTGTGGCTTGTGAGTTATAAAAAAAATAGTACTTTAAAAAGAAATAGCAGTTTCTAAATAGTATAATTGCAGTAGTGGATGGGGTGGAAAGTTCAGGAAAGACTGAAATAATGCCAAAAAATGGTTTTAGATAATTTTGACAGAACTTGAGATGTTTGGTCAATAGGCTCTATATTATACATACCTATTTAATATTTTTAATCCATAAGTTAACTAAATAAATAAGTAGTAGGTATGTTTTTAATAATTTTTGGCCCAATAAATAGGCTGAAAGTTTTCCTTGCCCAATTGATTTAGAAACAAAGGCCAAATTAAAAATCTTGAGTAGAGTTAAATTTGGAGAATTGACAGTATTGGTATTACAGATGTTCGACAATACTCACCCAAAAATATGTGTGTTCGGTTTTTAGTAGTATTGTAATCTGTGGTTTATTTACACAGTCAAAAATTAGGGTTAGGAGTCTGGTAGGGATAGGGTTGATGCTGACACTGACATGTAGCATGTCATATTTGTATTTGGTATTTAGTTAACTACCAATTAGGTATGATGTAATAACTTACATCTCTGGACCTGGGTGAGGTTTATAATTATATTGATTATTGACAATGAACCTACTACTAATGTAAAAAAAAGTTCAATGTTATATATAGTAGTTTTTCTTACTAAATTTGAAATCTACTCAATTTTCAACTTAAACATGACAACTGAATAAAAAACGTCCATACTTTATCCACTAGGCACTAATTTTGGGAGTTGTTGCGAGTTTTAGACTAAATTATTGAATTTTAAATTTTTTGGTCACTCACAGCTATGGTATGAGGGATCCATCCATGACAACCTGCTTAAAAGCTGAAAGATTCAACTTTTTAAATGAGCGTGAAATAGAGAATGTCATCAGAAAAGAATTTTAAAAAAGACAAGATAGAAATAAAAAGAAGTGATTTTTTGAATTCTTTTATTTCTTTAATTTTATAACATTTTTATTGTACAAAAGAGCATCAACAGACCATACCAGGTAAACGTATCCATTCAAATAGTGGTCACGTGGTCAAAAAATGTATAAAAAATTTGGTTGTCATTTTCTGGTCACTCTTATTAAAAAAAGGGTTGAAGATATTTGATTTATTTTTTCATAGAATGATAAAACTAATAATGCTTTACTATGGAAATCAATTTTGTGATATGGAGATCTATATTTAAAAAGTTATATTATTTTGAATGACACCGACTTTAAATTTAGCCTACATTCTCCAAAGCAATTTTTGAAAATGCTTTTCTGGCATATTTCGACTTGCCACCTATAGCATGTTTTTATAACGTGAAAACCTGCCATTTTGCTCGTGGTAAACATTTTTAAAAGTAATTCCAAGGAGGTCTCTGGAACTAAGTAGAAAAAGTCGCCGTAAGTCATGGTCCGATCCTTACGCCATGTTCTGGTTAGCAACCAAGGACGCTTTCAAGTTAGTGAGCCTCACTAATATATAGGACCTATATAGATAGACCTAATCATTGACGATCATTTTATTTAGGCCTATTTAATTAACCACTAGTAATTACAGTAATGTAACACTTTTTTTAAAAAATTCTATTAATTAGGCTTAACTTAGATCAAGATTTCTAGATCTATAGTTAAGTATGTATAGGCTTATGGATTATAGATTTAGGCTTAGGCCTAAATAATAGTAACTATGTTAGCCTATATATATAGGCCTACCTATATTATTAGATTTTTTTAAAGGGGTCTAGGCATATTTTATTTATATTTTATTTTAGGTAATAATAAAATGGCATTAGGCTAAATTGATTAAATAAATATTAAATAGGAATAGGCCCAATAGGCCTACTAATTAGGCCTATATTAAAATAATTAGGCCTAGGCCTAAATGAAAATGTCACTAAATGAATCACTGGGACATTAGTCCCAGTGATTCTATAGCAGGGGTCTCCAAACTTTTCAGTCCGAGGGCCACATTAACTATCAGATTTCAGTTCGGGGGCCAGTTTCTTCCAGACATGTGATTTTTCTTAGCAAAGTTCCTCAGCCATCACCAACAAACATTTTTTCCGTGGACAAAAAGATCTCCGCGGGCCGGATGAGAGGACCTCGCGGGCTGCGTGCGGCCCGCGGGCCGTAGTTTGGAGACCCCTGTTCTATAGTATAGTAGTGTAGATCTGGAAGATCATATTCGGTACATATAGTAGGCTAGATCTAGACATATTTTATAGATCTAGATTCTAGATCTCTGATCAGATAATAATATCTACTTATTATCTAGTCTCTTTCTTTATTTAGGCCCTAAGGCTAAATCTTTATTAATATTTTAACATTTTTTGGAACAAATGAATTTAGATTACCTAATAGACTCACTTAGTCACTATTATAGTAGGCTATAGATCTGCTCAATTTAGAGTAGATCTAGATCTAAATCTAGATCTAGGGCCTATGCATTTTTATTTTTATAAAAAAATTATTAGACTATTTTAGACTAGACTACTAGATCTAGTCTAGAATCTAGATCTAGATTCTAGATCTACTAGATCTAGATATAGATTCTGATTCTAGTTAGGCCTAAATTATAAAAATTATTAATAAAGGCCTAGCCAGCCAACTGTATTGTTTTACTGTAGTTTACTGAACTATTCTTTAGCGTTTTTATTTTTATTTTTATTAACCATAAAAAAAAACAACTAGAGTATAGATAGATAGAGTATAGATCTAGATCTAGATCTAGATCTAAACAAGGGTCAATATCAGCCAGATCTATCTATCTAGATCTACTCTAGATCTATTCAAGGCCAACCCCACCCCAGTACCGGAACTCACACAAGAATATTGATACCGCTATCATTAGCCGACCGGCCGACCGTAGGCCTAATGCAAACCGTAACACAACTACCATGACCTAATAATGCAGTAAGTGCAAAAGATAGCAATGAAGTTGAAGCCTACCTTTTTATGTTGTACTTGTATACGTTGTTCTCCACCCCCTAGCAGTGCTCGTTGTCTAACTTCTTCAATTCGACGTTTAACATCAAGAGTAAGCTCGACGCTCGCCATTGTTGATTGGCGTGCGCTTCGTAAGGCCAATGTGTGCTGAAAAACACCGTGACATCGTAAGATCGTACGAGTGCAACCAATAAGGGTAGCCATTGTTGACAATTCAAAGGTCATCTAAAAACTGAACAGGCAAATGACTGCTGCTCGCTTTATATATGCTTAATTTTTTAAAAAGTTAACTTATTTTTAAAATTCGAAATTATTTTTAAATTAAAGTTTGGCAATTTTGGTTTTTTTTTTTGTTATTTTAATACTAGGCCTAAAACACTCTAAATTAGAAGCGGTTGTATTTTTAGCTAAGGGAACTAACAATGAAATTGTATGTTGTACTTTAAATTAAGATTTTCCCCCTTAACTTTGGAATCCCTGTTAGTTTAGTAGATATAGATCAGCGATTTTAGTCTGGGTGGGTTCGAAAGAAACCCAGTTTTTCCAGGGATTCGGTGAATCAGTCTCGGGAGTTGGCGGACGTCAAGACACATCGATTTATGTCAGTGTGGACAATAGAACATGACACACATACGCCACGAATTGTGTCAACGTCACCTATACTCAGAGGCGTAGCGAGAAGGGGGGGGGTGCGGACCACACCTGGTGACACCAATTAGGGGGGGTGACACCAAGGCAAAAAATAGCAAAATATTTAGAGAAAAACTTGAGGGGAGGGTGCAAATCGAAAGTTTGAGGGGGGGGGGGTGCAAATCGAAAGTTGGGGGGGGGGTGCAAATCGAAAATTTGAAAGTTTGTCTCAGGTAAGGGTTGCTACGCCTCTGGGGGGTGACACCATTAAGTGCATTAGGTGACACCCGACCTCGCTACGCCACTGCCTATATTGAGTATACAGGCGCACGTTGATCGCGTATATGCGTGCTTTGAGGAACATACTTTTTATTTCTATACCGTGGACAACATTCGACTTGTAACTTTCGTGATGGTCATTTATCGCGGAACTGTGTGTAAGTCAGCGGCCTAGCTAAATGATTTGCAATGCGTATTTGAGAAATTCTAACCTAGCACCGTCAGAACTAAGAGAATACTTCCTTAAGCTCAGTGTATCTTACAGGCATCTCTTCCAGCCCCCCCCCCCCCCCGAATGAAATGCAATTTATATAGAAAACATATACTTTTACCAGTACCCCCCCCCCCCCTGGAGAAAAAAGTCTGAAAGAAACACTGCCTAAACTGCACGGAGATAGAAAATGCCAGAACACAACGCTCGCTGAATTCAAGGTAAATCCGCGCATTTTTGATAGGCAACAGCGCAAATCACACTGTTTTGCTTTATTTAAATATTCTTTATAATGTTTATGTTTTTGAGTGAAAATCATATTTGAATGGTTTAGCGCGGTTCATTCTCTGCACCAGTAAAATACATACTTATGTTTTGAATTTGAAAAGAAAAATCATATTTTATTTTTATTAAGGAGGGTTCGGTGGATGAAGTTGGTGGCAGTGTTTCTTCCAGACTTTTTTCTCCGGGGGGGCACTTGAAATCTTCGGGGGGGGGGGGGGGCGGTAAACTTTCTTCGGGGGGGCGGACACTGTTAAAAATATATATTTTCTATATAAACTATATAAATTTCATTTCGTTCGGGGGGGCGGTAAAAATTTTTCGGGGGGGCTTCGCCGAAGAGATGCCTGGAAGAAACTCTGGTTGGTGGGGCTCGATACTGTCAAAAAGATTAAGAACCTCTGATCTAGATCTTATAGATTCTATGTCTAATCTAGTTAGTCCTACACAAATAGTTATTCTATTTCTATTGTCCAATGCGTAGCAAGGGAGGGGGGGGGGGGGGGTTAAGAGCCTCGTATTTAGATCTATAGAATGGAATAAAAATCGCGTATATGCCTCGTTTGAATTGATGAAAGAAGCAACTTTTAAATACAATTCTACCTTACCCTTGCGGAGGGTGATTCACGTACACTGAAGGTTCGAGTTTTTTGTCCTTATGTGACATGCATCTATTATTACAGCGATATGTGTGAAATAAAAAATTACGTCACGAGTTTCAGAATGCATTATTGGTAACAATTGAATCATAACAAATGTCTTTGAATCTCTTCTCTTCTGAGGTCGCAGCAATGCACGAGAAGGGTAAGCCAGAGATAATAATTATAAACGCTTCTGTCAAAACCACATTCATATATATATATATATATATATATATATATATATATATATATATATATATATATATATATATATATATATATATATATATATATATATATAACTTTATATAACATGTAACTTTGGAAAGTTAATAAACAATTAAATGCCCCGGCATAGTGCGGTTTTGGCACCCCGGGATTCCCATTAGCACTATGGCGCCTTCGTTCGTTTTAAAGAGTTCGATACACTGTTGATACGGTGGGCTACTATAATCGTCGGATGACCTGCGCCTACATTCGTTTTAAAGACAACCTACCATAGGATCACAGTGATACACAAAATTCGATGCTTAAAAATGCATACCTGGCGGTCCCGTCGCGGTAGTGTAACCGGTAGCTCCCGAGAGCGCCTCGCTTCATCCTTGGGCGGTCGTCGAGGTGTGCTATACCTCACTATTACAGAAGATGATTAGCGTACACCAGTAGCGTAGCGAGTGGGGCGGGGGGTGGCGGGGGGGGGGGGACATATGTCCCCGGGCGCCGACCTTAGGGGGGCGCCAAAATGGGTCGGAAAAATAAATTGAAAGGTTGAGGTGGGTGGAAATCGAAAGTGTGAAGGGGGGAGCAAATCAAAATCTTGTTGAGGGGGGGGGGGTGCAAATCGAAATCTTGAGGGGGGGGGGGTGCAAATCGAAAAGTTTGTCCCCGGGCGCCGGGAAGGGTCGCGCTACGCCTCTAGCGTACACTCAAGCTTTCAAATAACTCGCATGGAACGTCTGGTCGGTAGTGTGGACGAACCCACACCCCAACAACTAAGATTCTAGAAATATAGCGCCTAATCTATTTACATCAAATAACTCAGTTTCAGAAAAGGACACGCGTCTAAAAATACACGATTGATAATGGATTTATAAAATCCTCTTAAGAGACCGAAGCATATATATATATATATATATATATATATATATATATATATATATATATATATATATATATATATATATATAGGATATCCAAGTCTCATTGTGAGGTACAACTGATTTCCTTACCCTGTGAAAAGTCCTCCTAGTGTCCAGGCTATTTAAAGATGGTGTAGGCCAACAGAGGTACCTCAAAAACTCTGCTTTCTATCCTCGGTCACAAAATTACAGAATCAAAAGAATTATTCCCATTCCTCGATTTCAAATCAACAATCACGCATACGAGAAGGCTATCGCTGCACCGGTTTGACTTTTTACAGAATATTTTGTACACTTAGTGACAACGTAATTTTATGCCAGCTGACGAACTTAGCGAGAAGAGTTTAACTCCCCTCGTGGTCTATCACTGGAGTGAGGCTCTCAGCTGGCTGTTTGCTGATGGGCAGGCAGGTGCTCGAATAATTATCGTACAACTGATAATGTAGGTATGTGAGTTAACCATCAACACCTCCATTCAATACAGGAACATTTTACACATGCTAACGACCATGTGTCGGGTGGGGTGGGGGAGGTGGCAGCAGGGGTCTACTAAGGCCATTAATAAGCCAGTGGTACCCTTTTTTTCGGACCTAATAAATAAATAAATAGAGGAAACAAAATCTTTACTCAGCACCACCACTACTTGAGTGTTCCTACCCCAGTGACTTCACTACCCCCACCACAGTGACCTTACAACCCACACCACAGTGACCTTACAACCCCCACCAGTGACCTTACAACCCCCACCAGTGACCTTACAATCCCCACCACAGTGACCTTACAACCCCCACCAGTGACCTTACAACCCCCACCAGTGACCTTACAACCCCCATATCAGTGACATTACAATCCCCACCCAAGTGACGTTACAACCCCCAACACAGTGACCTTGCAACCCCCACCAGTGACCTTACAACCCCTACCACAGTGACCTTACCCCCCACCACAGTGACCTCACAACCCCACCACAGTGACCTTACAACCCCACCACAGTGACCTTACAACCCCCACCACAGTGACCTTACAACCCCACCACAGTGACCTTACAACCCCCACCACAGTGACCTTACTACCCCCACCACAGTGACCTTACTACCCCCACCACAGTGACCTTGCAACCCTCATCACAGTGACCTTGCAACCCCCACCACAGTGACCTTACTACCCCCACCACAGTGACCTTACAAACCCCACCGCAGTGACCTTACTACCCTCACCCCAACAAGAAGCTGCTCAGAGCATACAGAAGTCTGACGTTCTACTGGTACCAATGTTTATAGTAAAAGAAATAGCATCCAACTCATTCATGTATAGCCTCAGACAGACGGAGGCGATGGGCGGTAGATAGGGAGTTGGGGGTGGGGGAGGCAATGCACAATTACACGCACATACACACATTCTTACACACTTCCACAATCGGAGACGGTTATTCTATGTAAAACAAACTTTTCAGTTGCCGTTACCACACACACACTTTCCCCCCCCCCCCCCCCCCACCAGTTATTAATGATCTTCACGTAGAATTGTTCTCTCTTTAATCAACAATCGTCCGTCTTGGTGTCACCCCACCCCCATTTTAAATGAGATGTTTCTAAAAGACAAATCGTTAGTGAATATACTCTTCAACTTTATGTTGAACTTGGTTTATTTTCTTTTATTATTGCTCATCAATATATTTTAGAACACACAATAGTAACATGGCCAAGTAAAAATTAAAAAAAAAGTAAATTTAAATATGGAATATTTTTGAGAATATAAAAAACTGTAACATTTGAATAATGGCTGCATTGGACAATCAAACAAAATGGCGGGTTAAATCTTAATGCTGTACTCATGAACAATAGTTCTAGTCATCATTCAACGCTTGCCACATTCTCGCTTCCTGTCATTTTTGTCATGCCAAGCAGAGTTCATCTTAGAATTTATACAGAAAATGTATATAACACAAATTAATTTAAGTAAATAATCACAACAACAACAACAACCAATTTTTTTTTAAATCACCCAAATTGTTCATGTTTTCGTTCATAAATTTTTAATTGAGTTCTTTTGGTTTAACTCCACTTTTCTTTTAAGGAGGTTGGTGAATTTGGTGAACTCTTTTAATACAAATGGGTGTTTCGCCCGCTCAACTCACTAACAGAACCAAACTGCATGCAAACAGACGAGCAATTTCTAGAACGTTCCACGTCAACATTTCTCCATTGTTACGGTGTGTAAATCTCACACTCTCCAACATAATAAATGTATGTATAAGTATATGATACTTCGACTATAGACAAAAAATGTATATGAGACATAGGTTATCGCTTTGAACATGTTATTACACAAATAATTCCTGTACATGGCGTTAACAGGAAGCATAAGTATAAAAGCCTCAACAAACAGGACATGGAGATATTTGATAATTGTCTCCCTATAATTTTTTTATATTGCTTTTCTTGTCTTAAAAAAATCAAACTGTCTGTCATGTTATCAAAATAGTATAACACCTAATCGCATTCACTATTATAACACCTAATCGCATTCACTATTATAACACCTAATCTCATTCACTATTATAACACCTAATCGCTTTCACTATTATAACACCTAATTGCAGGCGGATTATATGCATTTTTTTATACTTTTTCATGGGATTCATAATCTTCGTTGGTTTTTATGTACATGTATTATTTTATATTTGGCGGCAATAGATCCAAACTAAAGCTATATCTACTGATCAACATTACAGGAGAATAAAAGATTACTGATATTGTCAACAGCACTAGTAGAAATTAATCTAAATAAAAACTACTGGTTTGTGGTCTTGGGTAAAATAAAATATAATAAATTCAAGTTATGTTGGTTAAAATCAAACCGGAATTGAGTTTGAAAATTGTCACGATAAAAAAACACACAAATGACATCACACTAAGTCAGCTGGACACATTTTTTGCTCTCCACTTTTTAGCTGCATGTTCTTCATCAACTGTGCTGTCCTTAAAGTGGGTCAACCCCCCCCCCCCCCTCCGTGTCGTTGCTGATCTTGATTGACACTTCATGGTCAACTAATTATGCAGGTAATTTAAGTAAACAGTAGCACATGTTGTAGAGTATCCAATGGTCAACCAATTATAGAGGTAATTTAAATCAACAGTAGAAAACTCTGTAGGGTAATCCAATTGTCTTTGCTGATTCTATCAGTGGGTACAGAAGTCTATTTTAGATTGTGTCAATCACCTTCAAAAATCAGTGGACAGCATCGGACTGCCCACCATACAATCAGTGGACAGCTTAACACAAATGTAGCAATCGGACTGTCCACTATACAATCAGTGGACAGCGTAGCACAAATGTAACAATCGGACTGTCCACTATACAATCAGTGGACAGCTTAGCACAAATGTAGCAATCGGACTGTCCACTATACAATCAGTGGACAGCTTAGCACAAATGTAGTAATCGGACTGTCCACTTTACAATCAGTGGACATCATAGCACAAATGTAGCAATTGGACTGTCCACTATACAATCAGTGGACAGCATAGCACAAATGTAGCAATCGGACTGTCCACTATACAATCCCAGGAAAAAAAATTCCATAGCCTCAGCATAAATTAAAACAATAATCCCCAGAAATATAATCCTTAGAAGTTGAGCTTTTACACTCATATTGTATTCTTTCTATTGACATCAAATCTGCTGTCGTCAATTTTGATTCCCAGCGTCTCAAAATCTAGGTCAAGGATTTCTTCTTCTTCTGCCGTCTCACGGGCCATGTACAGCTGGCTCATGGCTTTCTTGGTCGCCTCGTCCTCAAACTGGGACTGCCCGAACACCTCGTCGTAGAAATATTCCTCCTTAGCCTCATTCTGAGCCTGAGCCTCGTAATCATCGATGGTGAACATCTCCTCGACGTCACCTTCCGGTTTCGGATTGTGCCCAGTCTCAAACACATCCGGTTCATCCAGAGCTCGTCTGCTGCTACAAGTCGATGACCTCCGTGTTCGTGTGTACTTCCGACACGGCAGCCTGTCCAGTGTGCTGGGGATTAGGAGGTAGAGTGTAGGTTAATGCAGCTATAAATGTGTTAGGTTAATCCAACTATAAGCATAAATGTGTTAGGTTAATCCAACTATAACCATAAATGTGTTAGGTTAATCCAGCTGTAACCATAAATGTGTTAGGTTAATCCAACTATAACCATAAATGTGTTAGGTTAATCCAGCTGTAACCATAAATGTGTTAGGTTAATCCAACTATAACCATAAATGTGTTAGGTTAATCCAGCTATAACCTAACTTTAAAGTGTTAGGTTAATCCAACTATAACCATAAATGTGTTAGGTTAATCCAGCTATAACCTAACTTTAAAGTGTTAGGTTAATCCAACTATAACCATAAATGTGTTAGGTTAATCCAGCTATAACCTAACTTTAAAGTGTTAGGTTAATCCAACTATAACCATAAATGTGTTAGGTTAATCCAGCTATAACCTAACTTTAAAGTGTTAGGTTAATCCAACTATAACCATAAATGTGTTAGGTTAATCCAGCTATAACCTAACTTTAAAGTGTTAGGTTAATCCAACTATAACCATAAATGTGTTAGGTTAATCCAGCTATAACCTAACTTTAAAGTGTTAGGTTAATCCAACTATAACCATAAATGTGTTAGGTTAATCCAGCTATAACCTAACTTTAAAGTGTTAGGTTAATCCAACTATAACCATAAATGTGTTAGGTTAATCCAGCTATAACCTAACTTTAAAGTGTTAGGTTAATCCAACTATAACCATAAATGTGTTAGGTTAATCCAGCTATAACCTAACTTTAAAGTGTTAGGTTAATCCAACTATAACCATAAATGTGTTAGGTTAATCCAGCTATAACCTAACTTTAAAGTGTTAGGTTAATCCAACTATAACCATAAATGTGTTAGGTTAATCCAGCTATAACCTAACTTTAAAGTGTTAGGTTAATCCAACTATAACCATAAATGTGTTAGGTTAATCCAGCTATAACCTAACTTTAAAGTGTTAGGTTAATCCAACTATAACCATAAATGTGTTAGGTTAATCCAGCTATAACCTAACTTTAAAGTGTTAGGTTAATCCAACTATAACCATAAATGTGTTAGGTTAATCCAGCTATAACCTAACTTTAAAGTGTTAGGTTAATCCAACTATAACCATAAATGTGTTAGGTTAATCCAGCTATAACCTAACTTTAAAGTGTTAGGTTAATCCAACTATAACCATAAATGTGTTAGGTTAATCCAGCTATAACCTAACTTTAAAGTGTTAGGTTAATCCAACTATAACCATAAATGTGTTAGGTTAATCCAGCTATAACCTAACTTTAAAGTGTTAGGTTAATCCAACTATAACCATAAATGTGTTAGGTTAATCCAGCTATAACCTAACTTTAAAGTGTTAGGTTAATCCAACTATAACCATAAATGTGTTAGGTTAATCCAGCTATAACCTAACTTTAAAGTGTTAGGTTAATCCAACTATAACCATAAATGTGTTAGGTTAATCCAGCTATAACCTAACTTTAAAGTGTTAGGTTAATCCAACTATAACCATAAATGTGTTAGGTTAATCCAGCTGTAACCATAAATGTGTTAGGTTAATCCAACTATAACCATAAATGTGTTAGGTTAATCCAGCTATAACCTAACTTTAAAGTGTTAGGTTAATCCAGCTATAACCTAACTTTAAAGTGTTAGGTTAATCCAGCTATAACCATAAATGTGTTAGGTTAATCCAGCTATAACCTAACTTTAAAGTGTTAGGTTAATCCAACAATAACCATAAATGTGTTAGGTTAATCCAGCTGTAACCATAAATGTGTTTGGTTAATCCAGCTACCCTATAACCTAACTTTAATGTGTTAAAGTAATCTACCTATGACCCTAACTTTAATGTGTTAGTTAATAAACTGTAACACTAACATGAATGAGCTGGTTTATTAATATTATAGGTATAACCCTAACTTGTATATGTTAGTTTAATCTAATTATAAAAATAACTCGAGCGCTTATGTTTAGTAATGTATATACTATATCTATATATATAAAGCAAAGTGGTCGGGTGCCCGATAGGGCACTTCCCGGCGCCGCAGGCGCGTCAAATTTGGCACGAAGGTGCCTTATGGCGATAGAACACGAGGGCCGGTGACGGTTCGACAAAAAGTCTACGGAGAGGGGGTCAAAACTGACCTCGACTGACCGGCGCCTTATATGAGCTCTATTACGAAAAAAAATTTCCTCCGACGACCCCCCTTGAAATTTTGTGAGGTGGTAGGAGAACGCCTAGGGGTGTCACAAAAAACTCGGCATATCTCGGAAAAATCGGGAAGTGGGTCAAAACTGACCAGTCGTATTTCCCTATATAATCTTTGTATTTTATGGGAAAAACAGAGGGTCATTTCAAAACGGATTTTAGGGCCTTTACCCTCTTTACATCTCGCTAATTTTCAGCAAGTTTATAGGTAAATGGCTTGGCCGTACGGCTGACCTGTCAGTTTCACTCAAAGCCCTCGACGAGGGCTAAAAAGTGACCGCGAGTGAAATTCTCTTTATATGAGCTCTATTACGGAAAAAAAATTCCTCCGACGACCCCCCTTGAAATTTTGTGAGGTGGTAGGAGAACGCCTAGGCGTGTCACAAAAAACTCGGCATATCTCGGAAAAATCGGGAAGTGGGTCAAAACTGACCAGTCGTATTTCCCTATATAATGTTTGTATTTTATGGGAAAAACAGAGGGTCATTTCAAAACGGATTTTAGGGCACTTACCCTCTTTACATCTCCCTAATTTTCAGCATGTTTATAGGTAAATGGCTTGGCCGTACGGCTGACCTGTCAGTTTCACTCAAAGCCCTCGACGAGGGCTAAAAAGTGACCGCGAGTGAAATTCTCTTTATATGAGCTCTATTACGAAAAAAAATTTCCTCCGACGACCCCCCTTGATATTTTGTGAGGTGGTAGAAGAACACCTAGGGGTGTCACAAAAAACTCGGCATATCTGGGAAAACTTCGTAAAGCGGTCAAAACTGACCAGTTGTATTTCCCTATATAATCTTTGTATTTTATGGGAAAAACAGAGGGTCATTTCAACGCAGACTTTAGGGTACTTAAGCTAAGTATATCTGGCTAATTTTTTGCATGCTCCTAGATCAATGGCTTGACCTTTAGGGAAAACTGTCGGTTACACTCAAAGCCCTCGACGAGGGCTAAAACGTGACCGCGAGTGAAATTCTCTTAATATGAGCTCTATTACGAAAATTTTTTTCCTCCGACGACCCCCCTTGATATTTTGTGAGGTGGTAGAAGAACACCTAGGGGTGTCACAAAAAACTCGGCATATCTGGGAAAACTTCGTAAAGCGGTCAAAACTGACCAGTTGTATTTCCCTATATAATCTTTGTATTTTATGGGGAAAACAGAGGGTCATTTCAACGCAGACTTTAGGGTACTTAAGCTAAGTATATCTGGCTAATTTTTTGCATGCTCCTAGATCAATGGCTTGACCTTTAGGGAAAACTGTCGGTTACACTCAAAGCCCTCGACGAGGGCTAAAAAGTGACCGCGAGTGAAATTCTCTTTATATGAGCTCTTTTACGAAAAAATTTTTCCTCCGACGACCCCCCTTGATATTTTGTGAGGTGGTAGAAGAACACCTAGGGGTGTCACAAAAAACTCGGCATATCTGGGAAAACTTCGTAAAGCGGTCAAAACTGACCAGTTGTATTTCCCTATATAATCTTTGTATTTTATGGGAAAAACAGAGGGTCATTTCAACGCAGACTTTAGGGTACTTAAGCTAAGTATATCTGGCTAATTTTTTGCATGCTCCTAGATCAATGGCTTGACCTTTAGGGAAAACTGTCGGTTACACTCAAAGCCCTCGAGGAGGGCTAAAAAGTGACCGCGAGTGAAATTCTCTTTATATGAGCTCTATTACGAAAAAAATTTTCCTCCGACGACCCCCCTTGATATTTTGTGAGGTGGTAGAAGAACACCTAGGGGTGTCACAAAAAACTCGGCATATCTGGGAAAACTTCGTAAAGCGGTCAAAACTGACCAGTTGTATTTCCCTATATAATCTTTGTATTTTATTGGAAAAACAGAGGGTCATTTCAAGGCAGACTTTAGGGTACTTAAGCTAAGTATATCTGGCTAATTTTTTGCTTGCTCCTAGATCAATGGCTTGACCTTTAGGGAAAACTGTCGGTTACACTCAAAGCCCTCGACGAGGGCTAAAAAGTGACCGCGAGTGAAATTCTCTTTATATGAGCTCTATTACGAAAAAAAATTTCCTCCGACGACCCCCCTTGATATTTTGTGAGGTGGTAGAAGAACACCTAGGGGTGTCACAAAAAACTCGGCATATCTGGGAAAACTTCGTAAAGCGGTCAAAACTGACCAGTTGTATTTCCCTATATAATCTTTGTATTTTATGGGAAAAACAGAGGGTCATTTCAATGCGGATTTTAGGTTACTTAAGTTCTGTACATCATGCTAAGTTTTTGCATACACTACTTTAGATGACTAGGCCGTATGTAAAAACTGTTGGTCAGACTCAAAGCCCTCGACGAGGGCTAAAAGATGATCTTGAGTGAAATTCTCCTTATATGAGATATATAGATAAATAAATTGACGAACGATCCCCTTAATATTATGTGACATCGTAGACCGACCCTGGAGGGTAACAAAAAAACCTTATTTCCGTCGGAAACAGCCATTATAGTCGTTAAATTTGTTCATATAACGTAATTTCTTATATAAGTAAACAATATAAGTAAACAATGACAATCGTCATACGTTCAGTTTTCAAGGGAGGTAACGTTTTTAAAATTATTAGTTTTTCAAATAATTGTATACTATTTTAAACAGAAACAGAAAATGACGAAGTATAGCATTTGTTTTAGTACAAAATTAAGTTGTTAATTCAGTTACGTATCGTAATTAAATAAATTAATTAATTTCAAAAGGCAATGCAATATAAATTATGAGATATACTGTTTATGGAACCAGTGTAGTTCTAATTCCATTTTAGTTATACCTTGCGTACTTTCCACATAATTTGCTCTGAGAACGGAATTTAAACAACAAACAACCACATTTTTCTAAAGTTAGCATTACTGTTTAAATTTAATTAAGCACTTCACACCTAATCAATCGCTAAATAATTAAGTATTCAAATTCTCAAATGTTTTCAAGAACCTAAGCGAAGCTAGGCAGTATGCCTAGTATTTAATAAATCTAGATTCTTTAACTTAACCAGTTACTGATTCTATAGCTATAGATAGTAAGATAGGGTACACATATTAAAAACATGATATCACTGTATAATTTATAGGCCTATTTCCAACTGTGTTGCAAGCACACACGGAAACACACTTACCCGTTTTTCCTTAAGTAGATATAAAGAGCAACAAGAGCCGCAACAACAGCAATCAACGTGACGACAACGGCAATAATTTTTCCTGTCGTGTCTGTTACAAAAGAAAAGGTTGTAGCTGTAGTGCATGGGTGTGGTAGGTGGGTGTGGTAGGTGGGTGGGGTGTGTCGGGTGGGGAGGGTGGGTGGGGTGTGGCGTGTGGGTTTGTTGGTGGGTGGGGTGGAGGTGTTGTGGTGAGTTATTGTGTGGAGTGGATGTGTTGTGGGTGGGTGGGGGTTTGTTGGTGGTTGAGGTTGAGGTGTTGGGTGAGTGTGGAGTGGAGTGTTGTGGGTGGGATGGAGATGTGTATGATAGGAGGTATTGTGGGTAGGTGTCTGTGTATAAATCAGTGGCGTGCAAAAAAGAAAAAAAGATAACAGTTTTAAAAAACTTATCTTCACACTAGAAAGACACATCAATGCTACACTAAACTGACCAATGGCCCCTACACTATAAACTGACCATTGGCCCCTACACTATAAACTGACCAATGGCCCCTACACTATAAACTGACCAATGGCCCCTACACTATAAACTGACCAATGGCCCCTACACTATAAACTGACCAATGGCCCCTACACTATAAACTGACCAATGGCCCCTACACTATAAACTGACCAATGGCCCCTACACTATAAACTGACCAATGGCCCCTACACTATAAACTGACCAATGGCCCCTACACTATAAACTGACCAATGGCCCCTACACTATAAACTGACCAATGGCCCCTACACTATAAACTGACCAATGGCCCCTACACTATAAACTGACCAATGGCCCCTACACTATAAACTGACCAATGGCCCCTACACTATAAACTGACCAATGGCCCTTACACTATAAACTGACCAATGGTCCCTACACTATAAACTGACCATTAGCCCCTACACTATACACTGACCAATTTCCCCTACACTATAAACTGACCAATGGCCCAGAGGCGTAGCGAGGGGGGGACATATGTACCCGGGCGCCGACCTTAGGGGGGGCGCCAAATTGAAAGTGTGAGGGGGGGTGCAAATGAAAAGTTCGAGGGGGGGGGGGTGCAAATGAAAAGTTCGAGGGTGGGGTGCAAATCGAAAATTTGCTCCCAAGGGGGGGGGGGTGGTGCAAATGAAAAGTTCGAGAGGGGGTGCAAATCGAAAACTTGCTCCCGAGGGGGGCGCCAAATTGAAAGTATGTCCCCGGGCGCCGGGAAGGGTCGCTACGCCTCTGCAATGGCCCCTACACTATAAACTGACCAATGTTCCCTATATATACTGACCAATGGTCATTACAACAGCATCTTACCATTGTCTTGTACAGAATGTGCTGGTGTTATAAAATGGGTCACCCAGCTAACACTCTGATTTGTTGCGACCGTAGTGTTTGTCGTGTTTATTGGAATTGTTGTAGTTGTAGTTGGTGTAGATGTATCCATTATGTTGCCCGAGGAAGACATGTTGACGACCTGATCTGCTTCTAATCACCGCTAAATGTGGCCATGGCTTTTTACAATTACACTGAAAAGAAAAAGAACAGATTGCAACGAATGTAGTTCAAGTTGTGTTAGATAAGTTTTTATAGCTTCTGCCAATCATCATTTGTAGTGCTTTTTAAAGGTTTTTAAACCAAAAATGAGATAGGAAAACTAAAGGTTTGGGGTGAATATAACGCATTCAGACACCTTAAATAACATACTCTATGAAAACAACGTATTCGGACACCTTAAATAAACTCTATGAAAACAACGTATTCAGACACCTTAAATATATATACTCAATGAAAACAACGTATTCAGACACCTTAAATATATATACTCAATGAAAACAACGTATTAAGACACCTTAAATATACTCTATGAAAACAACGTATTCGGACACCTTAAATAAACTCAATGAAAACAACGTATTAAGACACCTTAAATATACTCTATGAAAACAACGTATTAAGACACCTTAAATATACTCAATGAAAACAACGTATTCAGACACCTTAAATATATATACTCTATGAAAACAACGTATTCGGACACCTTAAATAAACTCAATGAAAACAACGTATTAAGACACCTTAAATATACTCTATGAAAACAACGTATTAAGACACCTTAAATATACTCAATGAAAACAACGTATTCAGACACCTTAAATATACTCAAAGAAAACAACGTATTCAGACACCTTAAATATACTCTATGAAAACAACGTATTCAGACACCTTAAATATACTCAATGAAAACAACGTATTAAGACACCTTAAATATACTCTATGAAAACAACGTATTAAGACACCTTAAATATACTCAATGAAAACAACGTATTCAGACACCTTAAATATACTCTATGAAAACAACGTATTAAGACACCTTAAATATACCCAATGAAAACAACAAATATATATACTCTATATACTCCAAGTCAGTGTGTGAAGTAGTGCGTTTGGACTGGCATTGTTGGTAGGTTTGGAATAGGTTTTGGAGTAGGGTTTGGGGTTAGGCAATTGGGTTATGCATTTTGGGTGCTTATGATTGGATGAAGGGGGTTGGACCCGGATGTTCAGAAGCCGATGTGCTGTATGGGTTTGTATGGTGAATGGGTTGGTCTGTTGTGTGGGTAAGTGTGTTGTGTGGGTTAGTGTGTTGTGTGGGTTGGTCTGTTGTGTGGGTAAGTGTGTTGTGTGTGTGTTGTGTAGGCTAGTGTGTTGTGTGGGTTAGTGTGTTGTGTGGGTTAGTGTGTTGTGTGGGTAAGTGTGTTGTGTGGGTTAGTGTGTTGTGTGGGTTAGTGTGTTGTGTGGGTTAGTGTGTTGTGTGGGTTAGTGTGTCATGTGGGTTAGTGTGTTGTGTGGGTTAGTGTGTTGTGTGGGTAAGTGTGTTGTGTGGGTTAGTGTGTTGTGTGTTGTGTGGGTAAGTGTGTTGTGTGGGTAAGTGTGTTGTGTGGGTTAGTGTGTTATGTGGGTTAGTGTGTTGTGTGGGTTAGTGTGTTGTGTGGGTCAGTATGTTGTGTGGGTAAGTGTGTTGTGTGGGTTAGTGTGTTGTGTGGGTAAGTGTGTTGTGTGGGTTAGTGTGTTGTGTGGGTAAGTGTGTTGTGTGGGTTAGTGTGTTGTGTGGGTTAGTGTGTTGTGTGTTGTGTGGGTTAGTGTGTTGTGTGGGTTAGTGTGTTGTGTGGGTTAGTGTGTTGTGTGGGTTAGTATGTTGTGTGGGTTAGTGTGTTGTGTGGGTAAGTGTGTTGTGTGGGTTAGTGTGTTGTGTGGGTTAGTATGTTGTGTGGGTTAGTGTGTTGTGTGGGTTAGTGTGTTGTGTGGGTTAGTGTGTTGTGTGGGTTAGTGTGTTGTGTGGGTTAGTGTGTTATGTGGGTTAGTGTGTTGTGTGGGTTAGTGTGTTGTGTGGGTCAGTGTGTTGTGTGGGTTAGTGTGTTATGTGGGTTAGTGTGGGTTAGTGTGTTGTGTGTTGTGTGGGTTAGTGTGTTGTGTGGGTAAGTGTGTTGTGTGTTGTGTGGGTTAGTGTTTTGTGTAGGTTAGTGTTTTGTGTGGGTTAGTGTGTTGTGTGGGTTAGGGTGTTGTGTGGGTAGGGTTAGAGTGTGTTGGTGTGTCGAGGTGTGTGGAGGTTATAAATAGACGATCACTAATAAAAATAAAATATGTACGTTTTTTTTCTTCAGTAAAGCATTCAATTAAAGCGTGTGTTTAGTTTTTTTTTCCGTTTGAGGTTATTAAATATGCAAATAATATACACCGTAGCACTGACTAATTAGCATACATTTCGTAATATTCTAAGCGTCTTACCAGAGTTAAAAAACGCAACATTTTTTATTCATAAGTTCCACATTAAGAAAGTTCTAGCTTTTCCGACTTTTAACGCTAATATATGCTCTATACTTGAGCTCTAGATTAATAAATCCTCTAATTGATCGACCCCCGCCTTTGTTTATTGGTCTGACTTGTAAATTAAAAGAAAATATTGGCAAAATGAACTGGGGAAAAAAAAGAATCAATAGACCAACACATACACACGGGATTTATATTGTATTATAGACTTAGTGTGCTGGATAGTTATACTGCATTTAAGACGTGGATTGTTTGCTATTGTAAAATAATCGATATTAGAGTAGCTTAAAAAATATAAATCAGATTGGGTTGTGTATAGATCTACAAGGGGGGGGGGGTAAACTTGTGACGCTGCATGTTAACCTACATGTTTTTTTTTCTAGATAAATTCTGATCATCATTTACCAAGTAACCACATTTGTCGATAACCACCGCCCTAAATGGATTTTGCCACACAAAGGTCATAGGTCAGATACTTAATTTCTCAACTTCAGGTCAAACTTGAACGTCCAACCTCAGATCAGACTTTAAATTGTGCACTGTACCAGACGACCAACTTTAAATTGTACACTGTACCAGACGACCAACTTTAAATTGTACACTGTACCAGACGACCAACTTTAAATTGTACACTGTACCAGACGACCAACTTTAAATTGTACACTGTACCAGACGACCAACTTTAAATTGTACACTGTACCAGACGACCAACTTTAAATTGTGCACTGTACCAGAGTACCAACTTTAAATTGTGCACTGTACCAGACGACCAACTTTAAATTGTGCACTGTACCAGACGACCAACTTTAATTTGTACACTGTACCAGACGACCAACTTTAAATTGTGCACTGTACCAGACGACCAACTTTAAATTGTGCACTGTACCAGACGACCAACTTTAAATTGTGCACTGTACCAGACGACCAACTTTAAATTGTGCACTGTACCGGACGACCAACTTTAAATTGTGAGTAGTAGTATATTAGGTCCCTTTTGGTTAGCATTTTTGGCGGAGGAGTCAAGGCGCAGGCGCAAAGGTTATATAGTAAAATACTCGGGAGGAGCAGGCGCAGCCTGGGACAATGAGATATAGCAAAATACTCCCAGCCTGGCGCATCGCAGGGTGAGGAGCGAAGGGTGAAGGCGCAAAGACATAGTAAAATACTACGCCAACCGGGGTTGGCGCAGGTGGTGGGGAAGTAGGTCACCAGTGACCTTGTGACGTAATCATTGACCTTGTGACGTAATTAGTGACTTTGTGACGTCATCACTGACCTAGTTACGTAATTTTAATGCGTTTTTTTAACTAGATTTAATGAGTTTTTAAAATTTTAATTAATTTTTGACCTAGTTACGTAATTTTAATGTGTTTTTATTACGTAATTGTTTAATTTGTTTGATTTAAATTGTTTAATTACTTTGTTTATATTGTGTAATTTTTATTAACGAATTACGTAATTTGATTATTTGTTTACTTTTTAATTATTTTTATTTTGTTTATTTTTAATTTTATTTTATTTTATAATTAGTTAAATTATTATTAACTAGTTACGTAATTTGATTTTAATTACTTTTGTTTATTTATTTATTTATTTGTATGTATGTTTAAAATTCTCCCCTACAACGCGAACGTATACTTTGTATACCACCCTTTAACCAACCGTGCAACATGTGTTACATATCGATCCGCAATCCTTTGTTTTTGTCAAACACTGGACAACGGGCGCGTTAATATTGATTCCACCCACGGGCCATCACAGCATGATGTCCCACCTAATTAAATTTTGTTATGCTTCACCGAGTTTCCCCGCTCGGTTTGACAGGTCATGATAATTAACGACGTACATTAAGTGCCTCTCCGCGTTAAGTGTGGGAACATCTGTTACCACTTTAATTGGTTTTACCACTCGGTTGGGTCCCGTGCTTTTCACTAACAGTTATACGGACAGTATCATAGGTTTTTCATCGAGTAAAGAAATAGTATTGAGCGACTCGGGTCGAGCCCGTGTGTTGTATGTAGTTGGTATATCCATGTTTTGTTGTTGGTTGGTGTAGAGTTTATACCAGGGTCGGTGAAGTTTTCACCGAGGTTGGTTTTGAACTCGGACCATGCATGTTTAGGAATTGCTAGGTGTAGAGTTTATACTAGGGTGGTATGGTTTTGGTTTCACCATGGCTTGGTTCAAAGTTGATACATGTATGCTTTGGAGTTGGTAGGTTTCAAACCTGCCTCGGTGAAGTTTTCACCGAGGCAGGTTACAAAGTTGATACAGGCATGTTTTGGAAGTGTTAGGGGCCGAATCCATACTAGAGTGGGAAGGATTTTGTTTTCACTGAGTGATGTTGGTTCACGGATGTTTTGGAAGGGGTTGGTGTAGAGTCTATACTAGGGTCGGTGAAGTTTTCACCGAGGCAGGGTTCGAAGCTAGACCATATATGTTTAGGAATTGTTAGGGGTAGAGTTCATACTAGGGTCGGGGGAGTTTTGTTAACACCGAGGCATGTTGGTGCATACATGTTCTTGGAATTGTTGTGGGTAGAATGTATACTAGGGTCGGTGAAGTTTTCACCTAGGTAGGTTTCAAAGTTGTTACATGTAGGGCCTATGTTTTGGAGTTGGATTAGGGCCGTGTTCATACTAAGGTCGGTGAAGTTTTCACCGAGGCCTGTTTCAAACTCTGTCCATCCATGTCTTGG